GAGGGCTTTCTCTGCAGTGGTGCCACATCTATGGAATGCGCTCCCCAGAGAGGTCCCCCTGGTGCCGTCGTTATTTGTTTTTTGGCGCCAGGCTAAGTCCTTTTTATTCAAATGTTATTTTGTTAAATTATTTAAATTAATAGGATTTAAAATTTTTAGCTGAGATGCACCGGGGGCTTTTAAACAATTTTTTTTAAAAAATGTTGCTATTATTTATGTATTTATGTACTTTGTATCCTGTTGTGAGGCGCCCCAAGGCTTTGTTGTGATGGGGGCGGCACAAAAATGTTTTAAATAAATAAATAATAAATAATAAATCAGGCGTGCCCTCCCTCCACTGTCACAGCTGGCACAGCTCTGTATGAACCTGCTGTGGCTCCAAGGTTGCAATACCAAACTTGGAACCAGAATGTGTGTGTGGGGAGGGGGGGGGGACAAAGCTCCACTATTCTATGACTTACCCTGGCAGTGCTGTACTGAAACAATCCTCACTTAGCTGCCCCTTCCACCCTTCAGAGAATTCCTGAAGTTTGGAGGGCTACAGGTATCCACAATGAATGGCACCTTAAATGAAATCCATCTGTCGGATTCTATTTGACCAATACATATTGATTACTGCATCAGAACTGCAAAATTCCTGAATGAATATTATGTATAGCCACAATGAAATCTCCAAAACGATTAATGACAACAAAAGGTAACTGAACTCTGTTGCAGCACTTCAGTTTTAAAAATTATGTTTTTTTCAATGCTTGATTATGGCTTGCTAATGGATTTTTATACTTTACATAGTTAGATATACATTTAAAAAGCTGTAGTCTGTTTGAATGTAAGTAACACATCTGTTTTTACCTCTTAAAGGCATATTCAGATGTAACAGAATTATTATTATTATAACATTTCTATGCCGCCCCTTGCCGAAGCTTGGAATGTACTTCCAAGTAAACATGCATCAAAGTGTACTGTAAATGAATTGCTCATATAGCAAGATTACATCTGTCAATGGTTAACTCTCTGGTTCAGGTCTCATCCATGTCATGGATTGAATAGGTGCCCTTCAATAATCTTGGAGAAAAGCAACAAAAATGATCTCTCTTGGAGAAGGGCAACCAAAACGATCAGGGGGCTGCAGCAGCTATGAGAACCAGCTACAACTCCTGGGGCTGCTCGGTGTAGACAAAAAAGGCAAATAAGGGGAGATATGATAGAGGTGTTTAAAATAATGTATGGTGTGGAGAGAGAGACATTTTACTCTTTCTCTCATCACACCTGAACCTGGGGTCATCCCATGAAGCCGATTGGTGGGAGGTTTCATGAGGGAGCAATCCTTCATACAGCATATGCTTAAACTATGGAATTCGCTGCCGCTGGAAGTGGTGACGGTTGTCAATCTGGATGGCTTTAAAAAGGGACTCGACAGATTCACGGGCAGGAGGCCACTGGTGGCTACTAGCCTTGCTGGCCCAGTGCTACCACCTTTACCAGAAGCAGCATGCCTGCATGCACCGGTTGCTGAGGAGCTTGGGCAGCAGGTCTCACAGCCATCCTGCTTGAGGGATTATTATTATTATTAGAACATTAGAACCTGTGGGCAGCTGGTTTGCCACTGCATGAATGGTGTGCTGGACAAGATGGACCTCTGGTCTGATCTGGCACGGTTTTTCTTATGTTCTCCATCAGCCTTAGCTCCTTCCCACATTTGCAATACGAAAAGAACGCTGCTCTGCCTCATGGAGCCACCCCATGTGATTAGGTGCGTGTGAAATGCTTCGGACTGTGCTATATAAATGCTAATAACCACGAGTGTCGCTAATTGCTCCTAAGGGATGGTGTGCGTGCTACTACACCATACAAGAGATGTGTGGTACAGCCCACACTTTGCATTCAGAAGAATCTAGGTTTGATCTTTAGAATCCCCGGGGGAAATAAAAACGTATTTGGAACCCTGAAGAACCGCTGCCAATCCGTGCTGACAGAACTAGGCTTGAAGGCCCAATTGTCTGACTGATATGAGGAAACTTCCTAGAGAGCCAGTGTGGAGAAGAGGGACTGGGACTTCGGTGGTCTGGGTTCTAGTCCCCACTCAGCCATGCAGCTCAAGTGGGTGATGCTGGACCAGCCACAGACTCTCAGTCAATCTACTTCACAGGGTTGTTGTGAAAACGATGTAAGCTGAGTTCTCTGAAAGGAAAGGGGCAGAATAGGCTCGAAATTTACATGTTTAACTTGCAGTTTCCAATATTACAAACTTTGTGGCTTGCTTCATTCTGTTTTTCTAAACAATGGAACATGCTGCAAGAAGGAATCACCCAAGTGAAAAGTCTCTTTCAAGAGGTTCATTAACCTAAGATGCTTAATTAATTTCAAGTTGACACTAGAACTGTGAAATAGGAAAAGCTATAAACATATAGAATGTGGAAGCAATGTTAACTGTGTTAACATTGTGTGTGTGTGTGAGTGAGAGAGACAGACAGACAGAAAATTAGGCAATTTCATTCATAAAACCCAAGTTTTAACTGTATAGCCTTTTAACTGTATGACCTAAGATTCTTGATTTCAGAAACAATGTTCTGGCTTCCTAAAAGTAAACAGATTTATTGTACACTTTCAGGGCTGATGCTATGACATGCAGTAGGGCCAGTGGTGAGACTGAGAGGATCAGTTTCTCTGTCTTAAGGGCAGGAAATGTGAAGAGCTGCAGCTACACCAGAGCCCTGGTCCAGGCCTTGGTCTTTGGGTTTGACAATATAACCGTAAGACATGCACCCAGGGGACAAACAGCTAATTTTAGGTAATCAAAAAACAGTCAGTTGACCTTCCACCTCTCAAGAAAATCATAATGGTTCTGGCCATCCAGATTACTTATTTGATGGAATGGGTCAAGCCACTTCTTGGTCTACTGTAGCTCTTCCAGTTAAAGGGTGAAAATAAGGATGCCTAGAAGGAACAACTCACTCCTTGAAACAATGGAACAATACAGAAACACAATACACATTTACATGTTCATAAGTGTTTGTTGTTTTATCAAGTAGTAAGCACATATCTGCAGGACAAACTATGGGTCTCTTTGTGAAGTCGAGTCACCAAAAAGATTTGAAAGATCTTCTCTGCTCAAGGTTATTTTTACAAACTCTGCTTCATGCAAAGGGGATATCATCTCAGTTTTTCATGCGCTCCACATGGCTTCTTACTTCCCATTCCCTCTTTTAGTTTATTTTGAAAGACTTCCTTGAGCCTAATTACAATTGTTCAAATTTCAGTGCTATGCACTATTTTACATGTTACATTTAGATCAATAAAATGTGCAAGGGTTGCAGTGGCAAGTAGAAAATAACCTGAGCTTTTCTCTACACTACTTCAATCTCTTTTATATGCTAAGCAGAAATGTTACATTTCTTCAGCATGATGCTATATACATTTCTTGGAAATAAGTTTTATTGTACTCACTGGGACTTACTGCCCAGCATGTTAGCACTGGATGGCAGATTTAGAGCTCATTCAAACATGCATGCACATCACTTGATTCATAATTACTCCATCACTGTACTTTGAATGATTAGGAGCTGAAAATGCAGGAATGCTGTTTCACTTGTTTACCAGACAAGAATGATTTCATTGTTACCACAATGTGTTAATTACAATGTTGTAATGATTGTACCTGCGAAACTGAACCTTACTGGGAACAACAATATTATGCCATTTCTACAATTCGCACAACTAGTGCTCTCCAAATTTACCACACATCAGCATTCTGCTAGATAAGCCTGTGATAATTGAGAAGTGGGGAAAAACACTATTTTGCAAAGTACTGCAAAATAACAAACAAGCAGACAAAAATGCAGGGAGTTTTCCTTTTTCTAACTGGGTTTCGGAGTTAAGAGGTACTGAATTGTGCATTCCCATGGCAGTTCGAGCAACTATACCACACAGGGAGGTATTACGTCCAAGAGAGACAGCTTACGGCTGGCAGGGTAAGGGCGCAAGAGGCTGTTCTATAGATTGAGACAGACCTTTGGTCCACAGCCTAGTCAACAGTGACTGTAGGAGCCTTTCCTGGAGATGCCAAGAATCGAACCTGGGGCCTGAGTGGCCAGTTTAAGAAAAAAACGCCACACTTTCTGGCTGGCTGGTACACTATGTCTGGCTTCAGTGCCCTGGCTTCAAAAGCAACAGTTGCGGAACTGCAAGTAGGAGGAGGACCTTTTCCTGTTATTCTTCAAAGCAGCAGCGAAAATGATGGACTGCCACTTCACAAGACTTCTTTCAGAAACATCCCCATTAAGTTAGTGGATGCTGTGTAGCAAAGATGCACCCTTTCAAAGATTGCACATATTTATATCTCCTCGGCTCGGGAAAAAGGCAAAGCGAGTTGAACTGCAGAACTCAAAGGCCGTTCCTCGCAAGGCCTCACTTGTAATCAGGATAGCAATCTCTCACCTTTTTCAGAGCGTTCACGGAATTTGCTTTGCACATCCAGGCAAGGAGAAACGTTCTGGCTGAGGAGAGAGGCCGCTGGCATAAAATGCTCTTTCTACAAAGCCTCCTGTGTCGGCTGATTCTTTACCTTGCCCAAAGGACTGCAGGCTACCCTCACCCATCAAAAGCTAACAACGCTCATACGCTGCCTCAGTTCTGTGCCAGCTATTAAACGGAAAAACGGTATCTGCTCTATGACGAGAGCAAGGGAGTCTCAGGGAAGGGAAGGCGGAAACCACCTACATCCATCACATTGCAAGCTCAGTATTTTAAGCATTAACAGAAATACAAATTGCCATTACTTGCGGTACACAAATGCACCATTGCATTTCGTACAATTAAAGCGCGCACACACACCAGATTGGGCATGCCTCCCCCAGTGGCTTTCCCTTGTACATTTCCACAGCGGACGGATGATTCACATTCATTCTCTCTCTCTCTCTCACACACACACCCCACTGCGAGAACCAAGCCTAGAACCCAGAATGAGGGAGAAAGGGCGGCGGTACGACGCGCAAACCTACCTGTCCCAAAGGCTTTGGCCACCAGCCACGCTAGATTGCAGGCAATTTTCGCTCGGGCGAAGTCGTAATGATCAAACGGTTTGATGGCAGGGACAATGAACGTCTTCTTCATCTCCTTGACGTCTGCAGCATCCCCCATTTTTTTCTTCCCTACCCCGGCCCAGAAAGCAGTCCTTTTTTAAAAAATCGATTTACATGATTCTCCTTCTAGAAGACAACCAGACATATATATATGGATATATATATATGGATATATATATATATATATATATCTCCTCCCCAAAAAGCTAATCGAGTACAGATCTTATTTTTGCTTGCTTTTATAGGAGAGCAGCAGCTGAGGACGAAGGCGGTGCAATGAAGTCAGCTGTGTTTATTGGGAGAAACCCCCCTCCAGCTCCCCCCCCCACTCGGCACAGGAATGTGGAACCAGCTCGGCTGTCCTCCTTTACGCCTTTCCCTCGGGGCGCTTTGTTTCGATGGTCTCTCTCAATTCAAAAATAAAACGAATACCAGCAATGACAAGTTTGGCGATTCCTCGGGCGGATTGTGCTTGCAAAGAAAAGCCTGGAGAGAGTCGTTCGCTGCGCGGCGCCCCCGCCCCCGCCCTCTTTTCTCCCCAAATGCAGAGAGGGCGGAGAAAGGCGCCCGAGCCTGGAGGGAGAAGGCTGGGATTTTCCTGCGGCCGCTTCAAAGAGGCGGCGGCGCAGCGCTGCGCTGCCCGAACGATCCAGACCGGCTGCCCGACGGGGCTTGGCTGGCTCGGCTGCGCCGGGCTGGGCGCGGCGCTCGTCCCTCCTGGTGGCGCTCGACCGCGCGCCTCGTTCCGATCAGCCCTTGCCCAGCGTCGCCTCCGCCGCCGCCGCCGCACCAGGCTGGGAAAAGCAGAGCAGAGCCGAGCCGAGCCGCGCCGCCGGCGCACGGGCGCATGCGCGCTGCGCCGCCTCGCCGCGGCCCCCTCCCCATCGCGGACGGGCTTCGGCTGGGGCGGAGCTGCCAGGGCGGCGGCGGCGGCGGCGGCTTCCCTGGCCGGCCGGACGGTGGCGGAGGGTCGCGTCACGTGGGCGGCGGCGGTGCAGCAGGTCGTGCTGGAGGCCGGGGCGCCTGGGTGCAGGGCGCATCCCCGACGCGGGCGCGGGCGGCGGCGGCGACCCGTCCCGGGCAGGGAGCGCGCGGCGAACGAAGGTCCCGGGGCGGCGAGGGCGCTCCGGGAGACGCGGGAAGGGGCGGCCGGGCGTGCGGCGCTGCCACTCGCGCCTGGCCGGGGCGTGCCTCGCAGTGCAGAGCGCGCTCGGGGTAACCCTGGTACCGCCCGACTAACTCGGGGCCCACCAGATGCTGGTGGACTTCAACTCCCATCAGCCCTGTTCAGAAGGGCCGTGCTGGGAGTTGTGGTCCAAAACGTCCGAAGGGTGCCCGGCTGGGGAAGGCTGATGTAGACCGACGTGGTGGAGATGTGAGACGTAGAAGAAGGCAGCCGTCGAGGGACACGTGTTGGCAGGACCAGCTTCTTGCTCTTGGCCGCTTTGTAAGAATTTTACATAAAAGTACGTCTGAGTTTTTGAGCAGGTTTGCACTTAACCCTTCATTTTCATGCACGCTTATAAAAAACCGTTTCTTATCCCTTTCTCAGTGAGCTTAGGATGTCATAATTGAAACAAGTAGCTAATTAAGTAACTTGGGCAGATAGAGAGGCTGGATCGGTCCACAGTTATCCGTATGTGGAGTAGGATCTAAACCCAGGCCTCCCCTATCCAAGGCCAGCACTCGAACTATCACTGTCCTTTATATGAAATCCGTGTTTGACATGAACTGCAGCTGCGTTTGCTTGAAAGTAGGAATACTTGGAGTGCTTCCAGCTCAAATAGATTGGCTGCTATGGAGACATTTGCATTTTAAGAGAGAGTCATTCCCTGCTGGGGAAAAGGGTGGTGAGGATCAGCTTGACCAGTCGATTGAGAATCTGTGTATTTCATACATAGGATCTTGACTGCAGCCCTATGTTCCACTGAAAAATTCTGAGTAAATATTCTGAGGACCAGAGTGCTCTTATGCTCAGAATTTGCATAGTCATAAAAAGCAATCAAGGTCATTGTGTTTTATGGGGACATTTACAAAGCAAGTGGAATTGTCCCATCATCCCATTCATCTGACTGCAAGTCAGGAAAAAAGTAGAAAGGAAGATCTATAGTTAAAAGATCATTGTGGCATCTATAGTTAAAAGAGATTTGGAGGGCAAGCTAGATGCAGGAGATCCATTATTAATAGGCTCTCTCAAGTTACTATTTCTGTACCACCCAATACCCAAAGATGTCTTTAAAAGGTTAAAGCCTGAGTTGGTTTATTTTATTTTTTACTTATTATATTTATATCCCACCTTTTCTTCCTTCAAAGGAACTCAAGGCAGCATACATCATTCTCATTCTCTCAAGCTTATCCCCACAGTAACAACAACCTTGTGAGGTAGGTTGGTCTGAGAATCTGTGACTGGTCCAAAGTCATCCAATGAGCTCCATGGCTGATTGGGGAGAGGAATACCATGCTGGCTCAATGTTTGGCTTTTAATTTTCTCTATGCTGTGTTCATAATGAAAAGCTGTGATTTCTTGTAGAGCACAAAACATGGCTACCCATATATTTGGGGGGGGAATGACCTGAGAGATTCTGTTCACAGACCCCCCAGCTTCACATCTAGTTTGATCTTTGTGTACCAGAGCAAGGAAAGACCCCTGCTTGAGACCTTGATTGTCACTGCTATTTAGAGTACACCTTGATGGACCTGAGGTCTTCCTCATAATAAGGCAGCTTATTATATTATTCAAGTATCTTGTGTCAGAATCCTGTGCTGCGTTCATACTAAATAACTTTTTCAGTATGTATCTTTATCTACTCGAGTACAAGCTGCAACACTTTCTTAGGGTTAAGGCTGATCTTTTGGCTTGCAGTTTTCATAATCAAACACTGGTTGGGAATTATGGGAACTGCAGTCTTACACATCTGGAAGGTGCTATATGGGGGAAGACATCTGGCTTGTATGATGATTGTGGCATTTAAATGAAGTAAAAATAAAGAAATTTGCTGGACACTTTTGAAAATCAAATGCTGTTTCTGTGCTGCCTGTTAGGTGATTGCTCACATGAATTCAGAAGAAACTGGTTGTGTCTATGACTGCTACAGAGCTATGGTTGATCTTTGGTTCCATCACACTGCTGTAAAAAGATTACCTGCATATCCTTGATTTCGTTAGGGTTAGGGTGCAAATCCTTGATTTGTACATATACAACATAAGCCTAAATCCTATTCAAATTTAGCCATGTAGGGTCAGGTTTTATTGCCACTTAACTCAGTGGAACTTAATGCCTGCGTCTGTTAAGGATCATGCAGGTCCTCATATTGGACCTATATATCCAAGACAAATCCTAGTTTCTCATATAGCTCAGTTTTAAAATTTGAATCTTGCTGAACTTGAGTTTCCCCCACTTTTAAGTAATTAACATCCTAGAATGGAGGCATCGCTTGGGGTAGAATTTCAACATTTTTAGACTCAGACACTCTCTCATCATTTTCTGAGACATTTCTGCATATCTCGTACAAGTCAAATGCCTGTCTTTTGTGCTAAACATTGCAAACCATCCTTCAGTGATGGTCAAAGAATCCAGAATACCTAATGAAGTGATAACTTTATTGGCACTTGAGCATTAGTTAGTCTTAATGAAATTATTGCCATTAGGGATATTGGCAATACTCTAATGGGTTAGTGCCTCCTATGCTTTTTGTGAGTTCAAAAATAGATGTTGTAGGTGTGCATTGCTTTAGGCACTGAATTGGACTGAAGACCATAATAGGTTAACTTGCAGTGTAACACTGGATTCTATTAAATCCCATTTCAGTCCATTGTACAGAACACAAGTTGACTGACAATCCTTTGCATATGAGTTTTCCCACATGAACATGTATTTTGCATGAATAAATATCTCGGAACAGATCTTGGCTGAGCTCCATTTAGGAATTTATCCACAGAAACCAGTCAATATATGCAGTGCCCATAAATCTTGCTCATTAAGGCTACAGTCCTGCATATACTTCCTAGGCAAAAGTTTCATTCTATTCAGTAGAATGTTTTTCCCCCCAATAAACAGTCTTAGGTTTGTTCTGTCAGGTTGATATGCTAACAGTGCTTCCTAGGAAGCAGTTAACTACTGATTTGAGATTTTCTGCCAAGTGACCAGGATCAGGTTGCAGTGAAGCATTTCTGTTCACAAAAGGCACATATATTCGCCGAGGCTTCGGCGAATGGGGCGGCATAAAAATGTTTTAATAAATAAATAAATAAATATTCCTGAAATAACTTTTAAGTGTTTCCTGAGTTGTATTTTATGTTCATTACATTTTCTGGAATACTTAGTTCAGAAAACTTTCAATTTAATTTGTAAAAAGTAGTATTTCTGCTTTTTCTTCTGCATTGCTAAAGTCAGACTGCCCCTTTCTGGCTTCTGCTGTCATGGAGAGCTGCAGTTCATGCATTTTAAAATCCTTGTGAATTGTCATGGCTTGAAAACAAATGTGTGCCCCATTGGCGAACACGAAGCCTTGTGTTTCTGGTTATATAAATCTATTGCTTATAGTGATGAAAGCCTGAATCACAAAGTTATGATGATGCAATCAATTATTCATCTATGAAAAAGATTAGGAAATTGTTTTCCATTAATGAAATCTTCTTCTTCCATGAAATGGTGATGTGATGCTTGAAGTATATGAAATTAATTAATGAATTAACACATAAGCATCATGTTGTGAACATGTATTACACAGGGGCTGTCTGGATGATGATTCAACTTAATCATATTTTGTTTTCTTAATCTGTGGATTCTTTGTTTCCTTTCTCTTTCACTTGCTACCTCCTTGTATCCTGAATGCCTTTGTGCCAAGCAAATAAGTTGTTTAGTGTTCTTTCCCACCACCTCTGTAATCCATTGAAACCTATGAACAAAGCATGGTTCTGGATTCACATGTAATTACAACCCATTGTAAAAGAACTTAGAGTTCTCAACCCAACAACCATGGATTCTCTTTCTGGATTGTTCATGGTTAACAAACCATGGTCTGTTTAGCACAGCTGGGTTCACAAATCACAACAGCCCAGAATTTAGCATTCCATAAGTTAAATGAAATACCGATTAATGTTAGTGCTTATTAGGCCATTATGTATTGCTGCCCTATGAGGCGACATCAGGTAACTACAAATACTTTTTGTGGTATCCAGTGGAACAGCTTTCATTTGCAGAATATGGAAAGTTGCAATTTGCCCTGCAGCTCCCACACACTGCCCTTAATATCTGTTGCAGAGGATTGGAGGATCCTCCCAAGCAGATTTGACAGGCTCAGGGGAGGCGAGGGGAGGACA